GAGACCCGGGGGGCCGTTTTGGGCTGACATCTCAGTTTTCCAAGGGTGAGGACAGAGACAAAGGAGCATACGTATACAAGGCGGGGAAGGGCAGGAGGCTTCTCCAGCTGCCTCACGGTTCCGAAGCCTGTCCTAGGATGTGCTCGGGTGTCTTAGGGGGATGAGGGAAGCACAGGAAACACTTAGGCTATTTTATGTTTGAATAAAATGGTAGCAAAATGAATTCAGTGCTGCGCCAGAAAGTCTGGTTCAGGGTGGTTTTGTATCACAAAGTATGGCGATGTACTTTGCCGATTAGTGGATCAAGGAGGAAAATATGATTTTCTCAAAAAAAGAAGACAAAGTATTGATTTTAATCAACATTCATTTGTGGGGAAAAATGCCAAGAAAACTAGTCATAGAAGTGATTTTTTAAATTTACCTGGTAAAAGCTAACCTCAGCAGAAATACTTAGTGGAGGGCCTTTAAATGTATTTTTTAAAAAGTATGGACAAGAAAAGATTGCCTACTTTTACCACTTCTGTTTAACACAGGATGGGCAGAGCTGCCAACGGAGAGAAGTCACCGTGGAACAGGAGGTGGACCCCGTGGTTGCAGCCCTGACCCTGCTCCGACCCACAAAGGCTTCCTGCCCCCTGCCGCTGCCGCTGGGGAGGTCACAGGATGCGGGCGGAGCTGATGCCGCCACAGCAGCGTCAGCCTGCTGTTCCTGGGAGGGCTTTGTCCCCATGAAGAAAAGGGGTGATACAGAACCTCTCTGCTCTTTTCCTTTTTCCTTGTTCCCTGCCTGGATTGGGACGTGGTGCCCCGGTGGCCACTGCAGGGCACTGAGTCAGCGGCTGAGCGGGTCCCTGGCACACAGCTGGCGGCCCGGTCACCCTGTATTGCTGAGTGCTGGGCCTTGTCCCTGTTTGAGCAGTTGCTGCCTGGATGTTTCATGACTTGCAGCCAGATGTGTGTCTCAGACTGATGAAAGATGGTGGGATTTCTCTATTAGAACAAGAAATAGCAAGAAAATATAAAATAAAATGCCGTTCACAGGAGCAGCCAGCACCACAATTAACCTTCCACAGTGCAAAAGGCCCCTGCGGAGAACATGAGCAGTTACTGAAGACACAGAGGAGATCTGCACGGGTGGAGGGAACAAGGACAGGGCAGCTTGATACTGTGAAGGCGACAGTTCTCCATAAATTGATCCATAAATGTAATGAAATTACAATAAAAAAACTCATCCTAATTTTTAAAAGAATCTGTTATGGGCTGAATTTCGCCCCCATGCATATGTTGAAGCCCTACCCCCCAGGACCTCAGAAATATGACTGTACTTGGAGGTAGGGCCGTTATTGAAGGGTAATTAAAGTTAAATGAGGTCACCAATGTGGGTGCTGATCCAATCTGACAATTGTCCTTTACAAGAGGAGATTAGGGCCCAGACGCCCACAGAGGGACGACCACGTGGAGATACAGGGAAGAAGCATCTACAAGCCAAGGGGAGGGGCCCCAGGAGGAACCACCTGCCGAGTTATGA